TGTCTTTATAATTGAATGTTTTATAATCCTTTGGATATATACCCAGTAATGGGATTGCTGGGTCAAATAGTATTTCTCATTCCATATCCTTAAAGAATTGCCACACTGTCTTCCACAATGGTTGAGCTAATTTACACTCCCACCAACAGTGTAAAAGTGTTCCTATTTCTCCACATCCTTTTCAGCATCTGTTGTCTCCCAACTTTTTAATGATCACCATTCTAAATAGTGTGAGATGGTATCTCAATGCGGTGTGATTTGCATTTCTCTATTGACCAGTGATGATGAGCTTTTCTTCATATGTTTCTTGGCCCTATCAAAAAGTGGGCAAAGGATATGAACAAACACTTCTCAAAAGAAGACATTTATGCAGCCTGTTCTGTCTTTTTTTTACATATCTACTTTTATTTATTTATTTTTTATTAGTTAAAATCTTGAGGGGTACAGCATCATGTGAATTCTCCATCCAATGGCCTTAGCACAAAGGTTGCTTAAGAATTTGGCAAAATGCTGCCACTGTTTCCATGGACTTGAGTTACCTTTAACCAGATTACTCTGGCTTTGTATGATTTTCCACCAAGAGTCACTGTGCTGTTCTTTGCTTTGTCTACATTAGCAAATCTCTTGCCCAAACAGAATTCAGTTTCATCTCAGGCATAAATACCTACAATTTTAAGAAGAGATATGTGCTCCCCTTGTCCCTAAAGCCTCTACCTATAGCCAGCACAATTGGCCTTGAAACCATAGCCTTCTGGACCTATTTGCCTTCTAGAACTCCTATTTCTAGCAGACCTCGTCACCCATTTTCTGAGCATCAGAGGACCAGCACCATCCATCCCTCATCTCCTCCCTCCTGTCCTCTCTTTTTCTGAAGCCCATAGAAATCATTTTTTGCTCTGTCTTTATTTCATTCTCCTCCAAGATTACTGAGTTGCTTTTCTTAGTTTCCCAATATGATAATATGCACATTTCATTATTTCTGACATTCATTTATTCAATTCATTCATCAATCTTATTCATTCACATGATGGATGGAAGAATATAAGCATCTCATTGTACAAATCTTTCTCTACCGTTGCTTTTAACATTTATATATCTTGACTAAATAGGATTATTGAATATGAGTATTCTTTCGCTAACATAAGAAAACAGAAATACAGTGAAAGGATCTTTGAGGGTATCTCAGACAATTAGACTTGGATATAAACAGGAGCCAAAACACTCTGGATTGGAGGAAGCAAAGATAATTTTACAATGGACATATGGAAAAATTATTAGGAAAAATCAGAAAATGGATAGAGCGAAAGTCAAAGCAGCTCTGGGTAAATAAAAGGATGATTTCTGCAGAAGATAGCATTTGAGTTACTCCACCAAGGATAGGAAGGATTTTTATATGTTGAGGAAGAAGGAAAAGGCATGTATAGATATATTTTTTTCAAGAATTGAAGAGGACCTTTGGGAAAACCAACACATGAACAATGAAATATTTGGGTGATGTTGGAAAATAAGTTGCTATTTAATGAAAGACCAGTGTGAAGGATATCAACATATGTCAGTTGCTCTACACCCAAGTTTCTTTTGACTTAATTTGGATCAATTATGGGTGTTTTGAACTTCTATCATTTGTTTTCTATATTCTCACTCTGCTTTCTTCCTCTATCAAGTGTTTTTATTTTTAAAAAAATTTTTTGAGACAGAGTTTTGCTCTTGTCACCTAGGCTGGAGTCATGCAATGGCATGATCTTGGCTCACTGCAAACTCTGCCTCCTGGGTTCAAGAGATTCTCCTGCCTCAGCCTCCTAAGTAGATGGGATTACAGGCACCCAACACCATGCCTAGCTAATTTTTGTATTTTTAGTAGAGACGTGGTTTCACCATGTTGGCCAGGCTGCTCACAAACTCCTGACTTCAGGCGATCCACCTGAAGTCTCCCATTACAGGTGGGAGCTACCACGCTTGGCCCCATCAAATGTCTTTCTTGCTGCTGCTGTTCTTTTCTTTTCTATAACCTATTTACTTTCTCTTTATTCCTTTTTATTTCTCATTGCTTATGTTGTGATTGCTGGCCATATTGTTGGGATATTAACTTTGGTGAATAATGTTCCATGTTTGAGCTCCTATGTTTGAGTTCCACTTTTCATATGGCAGCACAAGGAGTTCCATGGACATGTTCATCTTAGAAACTAGTGAAAATTAGTAAATGCACACACACACACACAAAATCCCACAAAGTCTCTGAAAAATGGTTCAAAGGGCATATAGCAAATGATTAATCATTTATTTAAGCAAATGTACTAAGACTTGGTGGAAATAGCGAGAGTCTATAGTATCTGCACCAAGACTCACTCAATCCCTACTCCCAGCTCGGTGAGACAGAAACTAGACTCTAGGCTGATGATCTCCAGAACATGGATCTCTATTACTCTGTAACTTTCAGCTGAGGAGCTACCTAGGGCAAAATGTCATCATTGCTCATATTGCCTCCACCTACCTCTTTCTGAGGCTAAGTTCTGGGCAAGTGAAGGCAAAAGTGGATGTTCCTTTTTTCTGCTCAGCTCCCACTAAATAGAATGAGTCCTCTACCTTGGACATTCATCTTTAAGTACTAAAATTCCAGTCACCCCTATCCCATTTGTTAAGGCAGTGAGTGGTTTCATGCTGGGAGAGGCAAGCCTAGAAGACCGGAGACCATCCTTATCCACTGAGCACTCAGTTTCTAAAGTGGGGAATGTCACTCATAGAGAAGTATATCATTCACTGTCCAGAGTTGGTTTAGAAATTTTGCCTAGATGGAGGAAAAGGCATTAAAACAGATAGTTCTTAATCTTTTCCCAAAACAGATAGTTCCTAATCTCTGACTTGATTTACAAAAGAATCACGATTTTTCTCAAAGACAGCAGAAGTTGTGATAAAATGTAATTGAGATGTAATGTAAATGTAACTGTAGGCCAGCTAGTTTTCTGGAGATAAATTGAGAAAGAGACAGCTGAGAGGGACCCTTCTGTGGTCAAAAGGGGTCTCTAACAGTGACTTTAGAACTATTCCTTCAAAGGAGACTGACATTTATTGGATTAGCCTGTATAGGAATTTATGCCACGGGACATTGTTGAAAACCATAGAACAGTCTTCCCGCAATTCGTGGAGTTCTACAGCTGAGGATGGTTAGGAGAGATACAGTTAAAGAAAGCCCTGACAACACCACTGTCTTTCCAAGGTGAATGCTGGCACACCTATGGCTGTAGTCACTAAAAAACAACATCAGATATTTAGCAGTGCATGGGGGAGTAAATAGGTAGATTTTACTACAAAAAAAAAAAATACAACCAGTTATGAAACAAATAAGCAAATTACAACAAGTTTCAAAGAGGAAGTGAACAGACCTAGAGCTGTTACAATATGTTATCTGAAATATTCTCTTTTCAACAAAAAACTTTAAATCATTAAAAAAAAGAGGAAATTATGGCCCTTACACTGTATAAAGAAAAAGCAACAGAAGCTGCCTATGAGAGTAGATGTTAGATATAATAAAGCCTTCAGAGTGGCCATTATAAATATGTTCAGAGAACTAAAGGAATCCATAATTAGAGATGTAAAGTTGACATTAAATAAATAATATCAATGAAAAGAGAAATTATTATAATGAGCCAAATACAAATTCTGAAGTCGAAAAGTTTAACTGAAATGGAACATTCACTAGAGGGGCCCAAGAGTAGCTTTCAATAGAAAGAAAAAAAAGAGTTAAGAAACTTGAAAAGAGATCAATAGAAAAGATTCCTTCTAAAGAACAGAGAGAAAAATAATTGAAGAAAAATGAAAAAGAGTTTTACAGATACATGGGACACCATTAAGCCTACTAACATACGCATAACAGGAGCACATAAAGGAGGGAAAAAAGGGAAAGGAGCAGAAAAAAATATTTTTAAAAATTGGCTCAAAATTTCCCCAATTTTTTGAAAAAAAAAAAAAAAAAAAAAAAAACCTAAAACTACATATTTAGGAAACTCAACAAATTTCAAGTAGGATAAATGCAGAAATCCACAAATAGACACATTATAGTAAAAAATGTTGTAAGCTAAAGATAAGGAAAATAGTTTGAAGGCAGCAAGAAAAAGATGATTTGTCATTTACCATGGATCCTCCCCTCACATAAGATTAACAGTGTACCTCTCATCAGAAACAATGCAGGCCAGAAGATAGTGGGACAACTATTTAGAGTGATCAAAGGAAAAATCTGTTAATCAAGAATCCTATGCAGAGAAAAGGGAGCATTTGTACATTGTTGGTGGTATTATAAATTAGTATAGCCATTTCAGAAAACTATATGAAAGTTCCTTAAACTAAAAATACAATTTTCATATGATTGTGTAGCCCCATTTCTGAGTATATGTCCAAAGAGGTTGAAATTGGGTGGAAGAGGTGTCTGCACGCCCATGTTCGTTGCATCGTTGTTTGCAATAACCAAGGTTTGGAAACAACTCAGTGTCCATTAACAAAGGGACTAAGAAAATGTGGTCTGTATACAATACATAGTGGGATACCATGTAGCCTGAAAAAAGAAGAAAATTCTGTCATTGGCTGCAACATTGATGAACCTAGTGGACTTTATGCTAAGCGAAGTAAGACAGACAAGAGCAGCAAATACTGTACAATCTCACTTATATGCAGGATCTAAAAAAGCCAACTTTATAGAATTAGAGAGTAGAATGGTGGGTACTAGAGGCTTAGTGGGAGTAGACAAAACAGTCAAGGCATACAATATTTCGGTTAAACAAGATAAATAAGTTTTGGTGATCTATGCACAGCATGATGACTACAGCTAATGTATTGTATATTGCAAAATGGCTGAAAGAGAGGATTTTAAATGTTCTTATCACAAAAATAATAAATATTTGAGGTAATGGACATGCTAATTAACCTGATTTGATCATACCATAATGTATATGTGTATTGAAACATCACATCATACCCCACAAATATATAATAATTATTTTCAATTAAAAATAAAATAAGACTTAAAAAATAAAAATGCCCTAATTTAAATACTTAAAAAAAAATCTTATATTCATCAGAGCCATCTTTCAGAAATGAAAGGGAAATAGAGACATTCCCAGTACACAAAAGCTGAAAGAATGTACTTATTATTAGCAGAGCTAATTTACAAGAAAGGAACTAAGTAAAGGATGCTCTTCTACTGAAAAGTGACTCCAGACAGTAATTTGAATTCACATAAGAGCACCAAAAGGTAATTTTGTAAATATAAAAACCAGTATAAATGCATAGCTTTATTCTTAAATGACTTAAGGAGGAATTTTATAAAATAACATGTATATAATGAATTTTGGGGCTAGAATATGCAGAAAGTTAATATATCTGATGATAAGAGCATGAAGGAGGAAGATGGGAGAAAAATGGTATAGGACTAAGAAAATGACCCCAGATGAGAGCTCTAGGGCACAGGTACAAGTGAAGAGAACTAGAAATATTAAAAGAGAAGGTTAGTGTAACAGAATCTATAGTTACATACTTGTTCTACATTATTATTTTAGCTGACAAAGGCCATCTATAAGAAACTCACAGCCAAAACCATATTGAATGATGAAAGACAGAATAGCTTCACCCTATAAGCAAGAACAACACAAAGATATCTGTTCTTAACAACTTCTATTCAATATTGTACAGGTGGTTCTAGCCAGAATAATTAGGAAAGAAAAAAATAAATAAAAACATCCAGATTGAAAACACTGAAGTCGAGATATCTCTATTTATAATTGATAGCATCTTACATATAGAAAATACTGCCCGGCGCGGTGGCTCAAGCCTGTAATCCCAGCACTTTCAGAGGCCGAGGTGGGTGGATCACGAGGTCAAGAGATCGAAACCATCCTGGTCAACATGGTGAAAACCCATCTCTACTAAAAATACAAAACATTAGCTGGGCATGGTGGCACGTGCCTGTAATCCCAGCTACTCAGGAGGTTGAGGCAGGAGAATTGCCTGAACCCAGGAGGCGGAGGTTGCGGTGAGCTGAGATCGCGCCATTGCACTCCAGTTTGGGTAACAGGAGTGAAACTCCGTCTCAAAAAAAGAAAATTCTAAAAAATGCACTAAAAACTATTAGAGTCAGCAGGGTTGCAGAATTTAAGATTATATAAAAATTCAATCACATTTCTATACACTTGAACAGTCTGAAAATGAAATTAAGAAAACAATTTATAATTTTATAAAAAATAAATTTAATAAAATATAAAGTATATGTCAACAAGTATATATTTTAAAAGTGTAAGTACAAAACTTAAACTCTGAAAACTGCAAAGTATTGTTGAAATAAATTAAAGAACATCTCAATGAACAGAAAATACCTTATGTTCATGGATTATAAGACCTAAAATTGTTAAAATGTTAAGATTTCCCAAATCAATCTACAAATTCAATGTAATACCTACAAAATTCTATCCGGCTTCTTTGTAGAAATTAACAAGATAATTCTAAAATTCACATGAGATTTCAAGAGAACCAGGAGAGCCAAAAACAACCTAAAAAAGAAGAATATATTTAAATAGCTGACATTTTTAGAATTCAAAACTTACTGCAAGATAACAGTAATTAAGACAGTGTGGTATTGGCATAAGGATAGACATGTAGATAAATATAGAAAAATTGAGAGTTTAGAGTTAGTCTATGTGTCTATGATCAAGTAATTTTCAGCCACAGTGCCAATATTCTTTAGTGGGAAAGTAATAGTCTTTTAGCAAAGGGTGCTGGGAACTGGAGAGTCACATGTAACAAAATTATTTCTTACATCACATTACATGAAAAAATTAACTCAAAATGAATCAGAGACCCAAATGTAGGAGCTAACGCTAGAAAACTTTTATAAGAAAACATAGTAATAAATCCTTATTACCTCAGATTTAGTGATGGATTCTTATCTATAATGCCAAAAGCATTATATTAAGAACAACACGAGAAACAATAGATAATTTGGAAATCAAAAGTTAAAAGCATTTGTTTCAAAGGACACAATCACAAAAGTCAAGACAACTCACAGAATGGGATAAAATATTCATACATCATATATCTAATAAGAAATGAGTATATATAGAAAGAATACATATAGAACACTTCTAACTTGATAATAAAATAACAAATAACTTGCTAATAACAAGTAACTCCATTAGAACACGGACAGTGAAATTGAATAGACATTTCTCCAAAGAAAATATATAAATAGGCAATAACAACTTGCAAAGATGCCTGGCATCATTAGTCATCAGGGAAATGAAAATCAAAACAATGAGATACCCCTTTACATCCAGTACAATAGATAAAAACAGACAATAGCAAGCATTGGTGAGGTTGCAGAAGCTGGAACCTTGATACATTGTTGGTAGTAGTGTAAAATAGGGCAGTCACTTTGGAAGGCAGTCGAAAAGTTTCTCAAATGATTGAGCAGAATTACTGTATTGCTCTTCAGTCCCACTCCTAGGTATATAACCAGGAGAAATGAAAACATGCCCACAGAAAAACTTATTCACATATGTTGTATCAGTATTGTTCATAATAGCCCAAAGATGAAAACAAATCAAATAGTCATCAATTAGTGAATGGATAAATAAACTCTAGTACATGCATATAATGAAATATTATTCAGCTAAAAAAGAATAGAGTAACTGATGCATACTATTAATATAACACAGATGAACCTTAAAAACATTATGCCACATAAAGAAGCCAGTCACAAAATGCCGCATATTATATGATTCTATCTATATAAACTATTCAGAATAGGTAAATTTATATAGAGATAAGGTAAATTAATGTTGGCTTAGGGCTATGACAATGGGATCCTTCCATTATCACAGTGGATGTGAGTGAGAGCTAAAGGGTTTCTTTTTGTGGCGATGAAAACGCTTTAAAGGTGGCTGTGGTTATAGTTGAACGTATGAGTGAATATAATAAACGCCATTGAATTATACACTTTAAATTAGTGAGTTGTAAATTTCAATAAAGTTGTTTAGGACATCAGTGACAGTTTAGTAATATATCATTATCAAAGTGACTCCCCGACTTATAGAAACACTGGACCTCAATGATGGCAATAGTTATAATGATAAGAATCATATTGGCTTGCTGTATCTTAGATGCCTTAGCTCTTTTTCTCTCTGTGTGTGTCTTTCTTTCCCAGGCTATTTTTTTGATGGCTTTCCCCACTAAAGGTTTCCCCATTGCTTAATTGTTTGTTGATTTGTCTGATGGTACAGTGTAATGATAAAACTGGAATTTTTTTAAAAACTGAGTTTGAATCCTAGCTTTGCCAGATTTAGCTGTATGAAAAAGTGCATGTGTATATCTAAGTGTCAGTTTTCAGAAATTTAAAAAAAATAGCTATTTATTTAGCCCCATGTCAAGAAGAGCTCCCCTTCTTGGCAATTTGAGTTCATATAATGGTAGAACGTGGTCAAATCCTTACCAATCTGCCCAGCCAAGCTTTCTGGCATCTTGCTCAATAGTGATAGTATTCTTTGCCTTTGCAGTAATGATGACATTGATAGTGGTGTGAGGCAGGGAGGACATGCTCTGGACTGGCATTTCAGAGGTTTGTTCTCAATTATTTACTTTCCTGTGCATGTGTTTTCTTTCTCTTTGATTTTGTATACGTGATTCACCAGTTTTCTTTAATAATGTCCTTCTCTTCAGACTTTTCAGCATGTTAATCAAGTCCGTTTTCATGTTTTGACCACAGAACCCATCTCTCCCCTTATCATCTCATTGTATTACCTTAGCTCAGTATGCTCCCTGTCTGGGTGGGACTGATTTGTCCCCACCTGCAGTTTACGGGGGCATGACTGAAATCTGTAGGTGAGACCTAGTCCAGCTGACCTAAATTCACTTTTTTATTGGACACATTATACTTTCAGTTCACAGACTGAATCCTCTTAAGAGCTTACAACCCGTTGATCATAAGTAGGAGCATAGATATTCCTCTGCACTGCAAACCCACCATAATAATTAAAAAAAAAACCTAAAATAAGTTTATCAGGAATGCTGAATTATGAGTTTCATTTTCTCACATGAAGGACAGGGCAGTTCAAAATACAGAATTCCAATCTTACCATTGCCTCCTGTGTAAAGAGAGCTGGAAGGTGCACTTAAAGATTCTATAGATCAGCATTGAGCATTCGGCAACCATATGTTGCCCTCAGCTTTGCCATATGGCTCTGAGTCTAATTTCAAACTCACTTTTCAGCACATTTAAAGGTGAGGGATTTGGATACAAATAAGCTACCTCTGTGGAAACCACTTTCCAACAGCAGAAGGGAGATTTTGGAAAGGCCAGTCCCCTGGCATGTGCGCCTCAGCTGGACTGGGACAGAGGCAGAGGTAGAAGCAAATGCTGGTGATTGGTGGAAATGACGCAAATGCCTGTTGAGGAGCTGTGCCTATGGATTTCACTGTGCAGCGCTGATAATGGCGTTCAGATCACCTCAGAAGAAGGAAAAGGGGAGAGTGTTCACTTAAGCTCTTAGAGAATGAGGATTTAATTTTCTTCCCGTTGCATCATATTTGAGCTTCACATTGTACTTTAGTATAGGGTCAAATCATTTTATTTTGTTTAGGGAAGTTGTGTTGTAGGTAGTTTCCCAATATTTACTTTTTAAAATGTATCCTGAAATCAAGTTCATTCATTCATTTTAGTCTCTTCATCCCTTCGTCTCTCCCTTTTTTCCTTCCATACTTTATTTCTTCTTTCCTTTTGTTCTTCTTTCCTTTAGTCTACTTTTACTACAAGATGAGATGCTACTACATATATGTGCAAGGCGAAGTTCATATCCAGAGGGAATTCCTGATTTTGGGGGGTGGAATATGAGCTGTGATAAAATGTCCTTCAATACAGAAGAGTATGCATCAGAGCCAGGGCCATCTTCCTATAGAAAAGCAAGATAACTTTCACTTGGGTTGTGTGAGTGTGTGAGACTGGGAGTAGGTGATGCTTTTTAGAAGGAACCAGAGACAACTTTATAAAGGAGATTGACTTTGAGCTGAGCCTGAAGCCATGGAGGACAAGTTTTGTGTTTTGTTTTTTCCAAACACCCTAGGTCAGAGGTGCCCAACACCCAGGAGGCAGATTGGTACCAGTCTGTGGCCTGTTAGGAACCAGTGCACACACCAGGAGGTGAGTGGTGGCCAGGAGAGCATTACTGCCTGAGCTCCACCTCCTGTCAGATCAGCAGTTACATTAGAATCTCACAGAAGCATGAACCCCTATTGTGAACTGTACATGTGAGGGATCTAGGTGGTGCACTCCCTGTGAGAATCTAATGCCTGATGATCTGAGGTAGAACAGATTCATCCTGAAACATCATGGAAAAAATGTCTTCCACAAAGATGGACCCCGATGCCCTAAACATTGGATATTGCTGCCCTAAGTCACCACCTCTTTCCATACTCAATATCAGGAGCCCTGCTTAACGTGGTGTGTACTTACTTATTGATGGAAACAGCTGCACTGTTTCTTTCAGTTGGAAAATATATTTATATTGTGTTGAAAGTAAACTCCAATATACAGAGGAACAGGAGTTTTATCAGTTGTTTGCTTTGCATTTTCTTGCGATAGAAGCCTCCAACTGTCTAAAAGATGTAGGATGTTAAGAAACCTACCTAGAATAAACAGTTTATGATCAGAAAGATATATTGGAGATTACTTTTACATAAGCAATGAGTAGTCTATATCAAGCATTAACATAAATGAAATATATCTCAAAGTTATCATAATCTTAGCCTATATTATCTCATTTTCTCCTTGCAGCAAGTATAATACAGGGAAGGAAACTAAAGCTTAAGAAGTTAAATGGTTTGTTTGAAGTCACACAGCTAGTCAGTGATGGAGCAAGTATTGGAAGCCAGGATTTCCAATCTAATGCAGAGTCCATGAATTCCAGTTATTACCCCATGCGTGTCATTGCAATTATTAGTTTATCGAAACGTTCAATGGACATTTTGTCTAAGCAGTTCCCTGTGCTGAGCTCTAGAGGAGCTAAAGGAAAAAGATATGGTTCCTTTGGCATAAATCAAAAGGGCAGAGTCAAAATTGAAGCATATTTATGTTTAGTATTCTCAACATATTTTTTGTTACCCTGAGTGCAATTCCTTCCCATAATGTCACATCTAACCTTTTATTTTCTGTCTTTATCTCTGTATCTTCCTGCTCCCTGGAGCTTCAACCTTCTAATACCAAGGCACTAGGAGGGGTTTTTTTCTTTTTCATTTTTTAATTTAAATGCTGACTCAAAGCAAGAGAGGAGGCAGGTACTTATACAACATAAAGTACAAAAATTTTGATGGAAGAGTTTCACCTTCAGTAAACACCCCATCTTTTACTTTAATTTTCTTTAGTTTACTTTAATTAAGGCAGCCTCTTAACATCCCCCTCTGCTCCTTAGAATTTGTAAATTCTGTGTCTTTCTACCCATCATCAACACCAAGCCAATCAGGGAATAACTGACAATCCCTATTGAAGTTTGTGGCTAATAGAATGCCTATACTTTAGAAGGAAAAAAAAAGAGTTAAGGACCAACAGTCTGTTGGGGTGGGAGACAGCAAGCAAGGGCAGAGTCTGGGAGGAACACAATTCTGTAGAAGAAGGATTAGCTCATATTAGGTCTCTCACAAAAGTTCAGGATAAACCTGAAGACAACCTGAGGATCCATTTTTTGAAAAGTTAATTTTGGTATGGATGTTGCTCTGAATCCTGCACCATTCTTTGGACTATGTATAGACTGGGTTATATCTTTTGAACCTCAAGGAAATAGCACACTGGACACTTTTCTGTGCTTCATGTGTGTTTGCCCACCTTGCATATTTGTCCATCATTTCCCAGTCTGATTACTTCCAGATTCTTAGACTTCTCCAGGGTGGAAGGTAGAAGAAAAGAATAATAATTGTGAAATCAAGCAGCTACTTGACAAATAAGGTGAGTTACTCATGTCCTTACCCCATTCCTTGCAAAAAAACATGTCATACACTCCTGGGTTACGTAAGCATGTGCTGCCAAAGTGATGCACTATAATGTGACTTGCAAGTCTAGCCTAGGATTGCATCAGATACCAACTCAAAGTATTTTGTCACAGGTTGTCTTCTAGAAAAAGACAGAAGAATTTCCTTTTACATTTTTCCTACTTCTTTCTCAGTGGAAGCTGCTATAAAGAAGAAAAATCTGATTGACCATTGATTTTAAAAAATGGCTGATTATATATAATCTACTCATTTATTCACTCATTTAATGTTAATTGAGCACTTATTACCTACTGATAACAAGTAAACACTAGGGCTACAACCGTGAATGTAAGAGATCTAATTGGTCCTCACTTGGATCTTCTTAGCCTGTATGTGAAATAAGACCCAAGTCAATTGTGCCTATTATATGAAGTTATTTTCACAATCATTCATAAAACTAACATGCATTAAACTTCTCTTAGGTATTATTTGACCCTATGATAGGCAGAGGGTGCACAGAGATGCACTAGATTTGGCTTCTGTCATAAAGGAGCTAAAAGCCAAGTAGGAGAGGAAGATAATCCCTCTTGAACATCACAGATGGATGCTGTGGGAGGACTGAAGAAAAAGTGACAAATGCCTAGTTGGAGAAATTGGGCATGTATTGATAAGATGCAAGTCTTAACAATGTTCTACAATGCCCTAAGTAATCTACCTGGCAACCTGTGCCTCTCTACACTGGCTTTGTTGTTTGTTCTAGCACTTTCCTGTCTCTGGATCTTTGCACTGGCTTATCCTTCTAACTCAGGGCTTCTCAACCTTGGCACTATTGATATTTTAGGCTGGGAGACTGTCCTGGATCTAGCATATGGTCAAGAGGCTTAGCAGCATCCCTGGCCTCTGCATAGTGGTTACTAGCAGCAACACCTCCAACCCCCAAGTTATGACAAACACAAATGTCTCAAGGTATTGCAAAATATCCCCTGGGGCAAAATCATTTCCAGTTAATAACCACTATTCTTACTGGGGTGTTTTTCTCCAAAATATCTGCATAGCTAGGGACTCCTTCCAGAATATCAAAATATCACTTTCTCAAAATATCACTGCCTCAAAATATCACTTTCTCAAAGAGACCCACACTGATTATCCTATATTTGACAGCACAACGGGGTGACTATAAAGTCAATAATAGCTTAATTGTACATGTTAAAATTATTTAAGTGAAACTAGATTGTAACTCAAAAGATAAATACTTGAGGGGATAGATGCCCATTCTTCATGATGTGCTTATTTCACATTGCATGTCTGTATCAAAAGCTACAGACTATATACCTACTATGTACCCACAGAAATTAAAAGATAAATAGGAAAAAAAGAGAGAAAATAAATACATAAATAAAACTTCGATATCACCCACCACTCTTCATTCCGCTCCATCTTAAACTTTGCCCATAGATTCTAACATCTCTGACCTACTATGTAATACACTTATTTGTAATTATTATTATCTCTCTACTCATTAGAATACACACTCCACTTGAGTGAGAGGGACTGCTTTGTTCACTGTTGTAGTTTTCCTGCACAGAACAGTGCCTGGCAAAATGATAACCATCCCATACGTGTTTGGTGAATAAATAAATGAATGAATTACAGTCAACATCTGTGTAAAGTTGTAACATTTACAAGTTTGTAACGTTTACAAGTACATCTACATATGAGGCCTCATTTAACCCTCAGATAATATTATTAATTAGGCCATAGTGTTATTTTTGTAGTATAGTTTAAGGAAATTCAACTGTGTTAAAAATTAGTCTCACACACACACACACACACAATGATGATGCCAGAAAGTAAAAAGGATAATTAAATATTTTAAAATATAGCCTTCTGATATGATTTGGCTGTGTCCTCACCCAAATCTCATCTTGAATTGTAGTTCCCACAATCCTCATGTATCGTGGGAGGAACCTAGTGGGAGGTAATTCAGTCATGGGGGGGCAGTTATCCCCATTCTGCTTTCCTCATTATTGTGAGTGAGTTCTCATGAGATCCAATGGTTTTATAAGTGCCAGATATTTCCCCTGTTTGCACTTCTCCTTCTGCCAGCATGTGAAGAAGGACATGTCCACTTCTCCTTTTGTCATAATTGTAAGTTTCCTGAGGTCTCCCCAGTCCTGCGTAACAGTGAGTCAATCAAACCACTTTTTTTTTTTTTAAATAAACTTCCCTGTCTTGGGTATTTCTTCATTGCAGTGTGAGAATGGGCTAATATACCTTTTCTATATTACACCATGCTGTTCCAGGTTCTGAATGGATAAGCATGGATTCGCTGGCCAAACTCGGGGAGTACAATGTCAGAACAAAGAGGGAAAATCCTGTTGCCTGCAATAAGTTGTCCTTTGCCTATTTATTTATGACTAAATATGCAAAGAGGATTTTTCTACCTCGGGAAAAAACAGTATTTACTGAAATAGGACTTCCCTTCAAATCTACTTGCTATGACTGTCCTTCTTGCTGTTGCTTAAGCTAGGATTCATGAATCCCCATAGAATGTAAGGATGTAGAAAAGTATAAGAACAGCCCCAGAATAATCACGAGACTTCTAATAAGAGAGTCACATTACTCAGTATGCAAAGGTGACAAATATTCTAAGATATGAGCTACATGTAAAAAATAAATGCAGCTATATTGTTCATGGATGTATTCATCAACTACTTACTACATATCTACCCATGCATTCAATAACTGTGAGCATCATACAAGGCCTCCACGCTCATGGAGTTTATATTCTACTAGTAGAGGCAGATAATGAAGAGATGATAAATTCAAAGTAATTTTAAAAATAATGCAGGAAACGTCATAGACATTTTGGTCTGGGGAGGAGATGGCACTATGTAGGCTGATTACCTGTGAGGGTACACTCGCTCACCTCTTGTACTTCTGAAGAACATACTGAAATGTACAGGGCATTTGGGAGAAAATTAATGAGATGCACAGGGCAGTACTTAATGTGAGGAACTCACCATAGAGACAGGAATTAAGTCACCTGGAGCCACGAGAAAGCCAACCTTTTATGCTTTTGCTTAAAAGGAGCATTTTCTTTACTATCTACCACAAGAGCATTGGGCCATGGCACATTAATGGATTCTGGACTGGTAATGGGTGTCCAAGGATAAAAGAGGGTTGAATGGGTCAAAAAGTTGGGAAACATTGAGTACTCTATCTCCTTTCATAGATACAAAATAAACATTAGTCTAATACATGTTCCAAAGGGTCCTCAGAAAATAAATCTCTTTTTCTCTGTTTAACTATTTGTTTCTTTTAGTTACCTGAACAGATCACTTTTTCCTTCCTAGTACCAAATTGTTGTTGTACATAAGATACCACTAATTATAAGACGCCACTAAGAAAAAAAACTCTGCCAATTATAATTGTACTATATTGCCAATTATGAGATACATTCCGATTTGAGAGGTGTTGACATGAAAAAAATGTGAAACTTAAAAACTTGTTGAGATGGTTGGATACAATGTGGTTTCATTTCTAGATATGTCAAGTTAATGGAACTGTTCTTCTCTGAGCCAGGCTATATTGTGATTTCTCACCCCTAGTGTTTTTATTTTTATTTTTTTAAAATCACTATGTTATGGAAATTGTAGAGATTGTGGCATAAATACAGCCTGCTGATCAACCAAATTTGTGTTCCTCTTCCACAGTATAGGATTGGTGCTGTGAAGTAGTGGTCACCATTAAGTGTGTGTCTCTGTGTGTGTGTGTGTGTGTGTGTGTGTGTATTTAAGTTTTAGGTAGGGACAACAGCCATGAAGCTTAGAAGATAGAGATCCTTTGCAGCTAGATACTGTGTTGGGACTAGTTTTGGTCATATACAATGAGAGCAGAGATAATGCATGTCACTTCTGAGCAGAGGTAGTTAAGTACCTGATACCATCCTCTACTTTCTTCACATTCTGCAGTAAACTTGGAAGCTGTATGTTAAATATGAAAAAACAATGAAATAAAGGAAGCCTGGAACCAGGAATCATACCTAGGGTACTCCAATCAGAAATATCCTCATTGAAAAGCCATACATGTATATATTAATCAGATATATTCTGTGTGCTGCTGTTAGAGATTTGTGGTGTTTTAAAATAACACATTTGGATAGAGATTTCTTACACTGTTTGCTAATGATTGCTGTAAATGATTGTTTTCTTGTTCATTTTAATATATAGTGACTGTTATTACCTGAATAGATTGTAAGCTTATTTGAATGCCATTAAACTCAGCCCACTGCCTTTAAAAAAAAAAAAAAAAAAAGAAATATCCTCATTAAATGCTTCATGAGCAAGGAAAACGTTTATTAAGTCACAATAAAATTTGGAAGTTTATACAGCAACTAGTTTAACTTAACACTGGTCAGTTTTGTTCATATTTCTTACAGCATACGTACTACCTGCCAAATAGTAGCAAACACTTCTTCCAGGTCCCTTGCAAAGATGGGATTCCTCCATTGGCTGAACAATTATGGGTCCTGAGTTGAAGCCGCTTTGCATGAAGGATGTGGAAGATCAAGTGGTTTCTTACGCCTTTGGCCAAACCTCTACCACTGTGCTTAAGATGCAATTAATTCTGTACAACAAACCCCCATGACACATGTTTACCTATGTAACACACCTGCTCACCCTGCATATGTACTTCTGGACATAAAATAAAAGTAAAAAAAGGATGTAATTATTATTCTACTGCAGTGGAAATTACAGGCCCATGATGGTAATTAATCGCAGCTATTTTACCTCATTATAACACTGCATCAGTAAGTCCTTCAGCATAAGCAAATAAGATCTGATAACTAAGGGGCTTACAGTTTCTAATTTGTATTTGACACATGGCCTGCCTTTTGGAAGAGCAACATAGAACCTAGATATCTTTGATTAAGGTCGGTAAATGATTGTTTGTTAATCCCATTCATTTCCCAGGAAAAGGAGATCTCTTTACAAGTCACTACCAGGGATTCTTCAGTCACAGATAGGAAAAAATTCCAGGGAGACTTCTATAAAATACATGTATTAACATCTCAGAAAACATAGTTGAAAGGACTTCCCTGGGCCCTTTTTCTTAGGCCTTCGTCCTGACTGTCAAGAGGTTTCCTCTCCAAATGATGGAAAGAAGGGGCATTTGTCTGTTACATGCTTCTGTTCCTCTATTCACGAAAGCACTGTGTCCTAGTAATGGGGTCTAGTTATGTCTGGCTTGAAATAACACACATATTTCTTTCTCATTCTTAGGGAGTGGAGTGTTTCTGTATGTGTGTGTGTGTGATGTGGGTAGGCCAGGAGGTTTTTTGTCTAGGTAATACACAGTTTGAAATCATTATTAGCATGACGTGGAAATCGTATTTCTATTTTAGAAAGATGATTTTATCTGTAGGATGAAGAATCAATTGGAAGAGCTGATACATTGAAAGATGTGAATAATAGACGTTGGGAGACTTCTTAATAGTATATTTTGCTAGTTTAGGCCATGGGATATGTTTAATAGTAATGCTAGTAGAAATGGTGACTGACATTTTGTAATTATTTTACAGATACAATTTCTAGAACTTGGTGGAACATTTTTTAAAATGTAGGTTTTATTATTCGGCTATGGTGAAAACAACAGATCAGAAGATGATGCCACTGGAAATATAATTTGTTGTTTACAGTTCTAAGAGGAGGGGCCATGCCACACCATGCAGGGCCACATGGGAAGCACCAAGAGTCAGGAGGTAGAGGGAACAAGAGGAAATTACAGGCACAAGCTTTGATTGTTTTTTCTTCAGAAAAGGCAAGGCAAGGCAGGATAGGCAGGGGTGGAATTGGCTAGTTTGAATAACCTCAGTGGGCTCTGGGTTACAGGGTCTGTCTCTAGTTGTCTTGAACCTGGACCTGTGATGATTAGGGCTGAATAATAATTTGGGTGTAAGAGCCAGGTAGAGGAGGTGGTTCAGAGTAAGGGCTCTGGATTGGTTAGTGTGCATAAGAAAGGCATGCTTCAGGGCAGATCCTTTGCTATCTTTAAGGACAGACTAGCCCTGGTAGGTGCAGTCTCTTCCCAGGTGCCAGAATATCAAGAATACAGAAAATAAAAAAATTAAGTTAATGCATATTTAGCATGAGAAATGAGGAAACAAGGGAAATAAAGTCAAAGATATTTCCACCTTGGATGACTATGTAGAAGTGAAACACCATGAACTTTCCAGGGAACTAAACTTGATTGAGCAACTATTCTGTGTCAGGCACCGTTCTAAGATCTTTACATAAATAGTCTAAATCCTCAGAGCGAAGCTTTACCATGGAGGTTGTTTTTATCTTAACTGTACTGGTGTCTTGATGGAGTCTACAAGAGTTTGTGCTCAGTCCACTACAAAATGATCCTTCACAGCTTGGTTTTTGACATGTTGGATTGGAAGTGCTTGGAAGATGTTATAGTAGGACTGTGTAGGACACAGTACCCACAATATTCCCATTTTAAATCCTGTTCTTATTTAACAGAAACTTACATTGCACTTGCTGCTTTCCAAACACTGTCCTAAAAGCTTCACAATGCCAGCTTATTTAATCCCATGATAATCCTTTGAGATACATACTATCATCCTCATTCTATCCACATTTTCAATCCTCATGATAGCTCTCATTTATGAGATGTAATGATGATACTCTAGGCTAGGAATTTTATGTGTTAGCTTCATTCAGTAATTGAAGACACATGTGATTATCTCCATTTTAAAGACCAGAAAACTAAAGGTTGTTAGGCTTGTGTCATTTGTATAATACCATTGTATAGCTTTATTTTCATATATTTTATAAATGTGAGCTTCTGCTGTGATTAAAAATGATTACCACATTTTACAGACCCGAAAGTAAGAATAAGTGTTGGTGAAGATGTGAAGAAATGAGAACACTTGTACACCACTTGTGGGAATGTAAAATGGTACAGATGCTGTGGAGAATAGCGTGGTAGTTGCTGAAGAAATTAAAAATAGCTTTACCATGTGATCCACCAATCTCACATCTGATTACATATCCGAAAGAATTGAAAGCAGGGACTCTAAGAGATATCTGTCAACCATGTTTTTAGCAGCATTATTCACAATAATTCACTATTCACAATAGCTAATATATGGTAACAAGGCAGGTGTCCACAAACAGACAAACGGATAAGCAAAATGTGGTATATACATACAATGGAATATTATTCAGCTTTAAAAAGGATGGATGCTTTGAACTATACTACCACAGAAATGAACTTTGAAGACATTATGCAAAGTGAGATAAGCCAGTGACAAAAAGGCACTTATTGTATGATTCTACTTAAGAGATACTTACAGACAAAAAGTAGTGTGTAGTTGTCAGGGGCTAGAGAATGGATACACGGGGAGTTATTGCTTAATAAATAGTGGCGACGATTGTATAACAATAAGAATATAATTAATGCCACTGAATTGTACACATACAAATGGTTAACGTAAGGCCGGTTGCCTCCCCAGGAGGCCGGACACACCTACCTCTGCACTCAACACCTGACTCTGCACCAGGCACCAGGCTCTGCATTGGGCACCTAGCTCTGCCACATGGCTCCCCTAGAAGGCTCCGGCTAATGCAACCCTGGCCAGCTCTCTCACCGGAAAACCCACACAGCAACCTGCCAACCAATAGCGGCCCACCCCATATCAATCCTGCTCCCCTGGACCCAATCAGAGCACCCAGCTGTTGCTTGGTCCTCCTAGCTATAAAAACCCCCACCCCAGGAAGTCAGTCAGTGCGACTTCTCTGGCCCCCTTTCCCAGGACCAGAGAACCTCTCCTGGGAGCTGAATAAACTGGCATTTAATTTTTTTATACTAGCCTCGGTTTCCTCATTTTAAACTCGGCCATAACCCTTACGGTTAAGATAAAAAGTTTTATGTTATGTGATTTTACCACAATAATGAAAATGTGAAAAAAAAAAAAAAGGGAAGCTTAGTAGTTTACATGACTTGACCAATGCCTCAAGGCCATGAGTCATGCAGCCTGGATCTGAACTTCAGTATATTTGATTTTGAAATCCCAGACTTTTCCCAATCTTCTTGTACTTTTCAACTGTGTTTCACTGGAGCTTTATTTTCAGTTTTGTATGTGAGTTTCTTCACAAGAAGAGGTGGGCTGAATTGTGTTCCTGCAAAAACTTATATATCGAAGTCCTAACCCCTCTACCTCAGATTATGGCTGTATATGGAGAGAGGGGCTTTAAAGAGGTATGTAAGATAGAATGAGGTCACTATGGTTGGCCCCAATCCAGCGTAACTGGTGTCCTTATAAGAAGGGGAGATTAGAATTCAGACGCACTTGGTGACACCTTGAATTCACACTGGAAGCCTCTAGAATTGTGAGAAAATAAATCTCTGTTGTTTAAGCCACCCAGTCTGTGGTACTTGGTTATGGCAGACCTAGCAAACTAATATAAGTGGTGTTTTTACAACTGAAACAAAACTGGAATATCACCATCATCCTAGAGATTTACCAGGGCTATTTTAACAGAATCTGACTGTTTTCCTAAAGCCACCACGCCTAGGCAGAGGTCAGATGACGTCCCGGGATAAAAGCCAACTAGCTGCCTCTTGCTGTTTCTTTAGCTACTGGTCTGCAGACATTTCCTTCTTCTTCTTCTAACTTCCTCTCCTGTGACAAAAGAGATAATTATTAGAGAAACAAAAGTCCAGAATGCTAAGGTCGCCACTCTCACTTCCTCTCACCCTTTACCCAGCGCTGTTTTGAATACACCAATTGCTGTGGGGCACTGACTCCAGGAAGAGAAGACACCAACGCTTCAGAATCTCTGCGCGGTCAGACGGTGATAGCCAGCCACACGTTCACGGGGCCACTGCTGCTCACAGAAGCAGTGAGGATGATGCCAGGATGATGCCTGCTTCATGCCTGGCTGGGGCTCTGATCCCAGCCATGGCCTTCCTCTCCTGTGTGAGACCAGAAAGCTGGGAGCCCTGCGTGGAGGTATGTGGCTGGCGTCAGCTCCTCTGAACTTTCCCTGGCTTCTGCCCAGAACTTCATACTGTGTGCTCTGGTTTGTTTATTTTTGCAAAAAAGAATTAAATTACCTTAAAGATTCAGGAAGCCACGGAGATCCACTAATTCATTGTTGGAGGGCACTAAAGGCAGCCAGTGGGGGTTTGTTCCATTTGCAACTTTTGAGTGCTAACAGGGGCTTAGATTACGTAGATCTGCTTAAGATCCCTGCTCTGCTACCTTGTGGCTGCTTGAAGAAATAAACCTCTCTGAGACGAGTTTTCACATTTATAAAAGAATTTTAATAATACTTTCTTCACTAGAGAGTAAGCAGATCGCTTCTGCGTCATTTTTTCCCCACTGGTGGTCTTTACACAGAGCTTCAAGCAGTCATCCTGCCCCTTTCAATCTCAGGATGATGGCTTGTTTGTGACTCAAGAGAAAGAACTTTCTAGGTGGGTGTCAGACTTCTGTATGCAGTCACATACTTTAGTCCAGAGGATGAATAAAATAAGAGAATGGAAAAAGAAAGGAGAGAGAGAAGAAAAGAGCAATAGCGAACGAAGTATAATATCAGCTAATGCAACGGTTTCTTTCTTTGTGAAATACCAACCAGCTGATTGGTAACCTTATTCATGATGGGTCTCTTTTGATTTTCCCCTGCACAGACTTCACAGTTGCTTTAGAAACCCATTGTAGAGCCAAACAGCTAAGAAAATGATTTACAGCAAGCCAGGGTCAGATACTCAGGAGAAGCAAAGCCAGCTGCAGTCCTGAAGTTGAGAATATGGGAGAAAACAGAGTAATATTTAGAAAAGACTAATTCATTGTCTCGAAGTCCTCTGTTCCCACAATTCCCTGCCCATAGCCCTCCTTGTCTTCTTCTCTGTATCTCTCTGCTGTTAGGTTAGTGGGGATAGATTCTCCAATCAGGATCACCCTGAGAGAAAACCAGAGTGAATCTTGACTCCTTCTTTTACCCGTGTGCCTTTCCCTGTCAGTCCCTGAAGCCTCTCCGTCCCTGCCCATCCCCTCAGTGCCACTGTAAGGCAGTCCTTCATTTCCCCTGGTGCTGACTTTCACACAGTGACTGCTTTCCTGATTCCAATCTTCTTCCTTTAATTCATTCTGCACGTTTTTGTTTGTTATGTATTTGCATTTGTTATTATTTTTCCTTAGGCTTCGATCTAAGAAATTGCTCTCTTTAGAAACTTTTAGTAACTCTTTATTGTCATTAGAACAGTTTTCTACCACAGGGCCTTTGTACAGGCTATTTCTTCTACCTAGAATGCCGGATCAGTGCTATCTAATAGCAATATTATGTGAACCACATATGTACTTTTGAAGTTTTTAGTAGCCTCATTGAAAAAAAGGTAAAGTGAATTTAATTTTGATAATATTTTTATTTAACTTAGCAAATTCAAAATAATGTTTAAAATTTTAATATATATTTACCTATTACTGATATTTTACATTCCTTGTTAGGTACTAAGTCTGAAATTTAGCATGTAGTTTTACATTTACTTCACATCTCAATTTAGACTGTTTACATCCTCTGACTTAGGTTTCACCACTCTCACCACTCACCAGCTAATCTGAGTTTGTTTTCCACTCCTTCTGTGCTCACATTGTCCTCTCCTTACGACATGTTTTTCTTCCCCTTTCCGCATATCTAAGCCTGACTCATCTTTCAAGACCTACTTTAAAATCTTCCTTTTTCTGGAAAGTCTTTCCATAATCCAGACTTGATCTCTGCTTTCTCTGAACCACAGGACATATTTTCTAAACCTATTGTATGGCCGCTCTAGACAGTGTTAGCTTTGCTCCTATCTAAACTCTTACTCTAGACTGTGAGTCCACTGAAATCTGGAGCCACAGCATATTTTTCTTTGTAATGCCCACAGGGCTTGGCAGAAAATGCCTACGATTTGGACTTAAGTAAACTCTCACTTAATCAGTTATTCAATCAGTTATTCATTTATTCAGCAGATATTTATTGAGCATCAACCATTTGCCAGACACCATTCTGAGTGCTGGAGACAAAGCAGGGGGCAAAACCATCAAAACTTGCGATGGAGTACAGGATATGAACAATACAATGGGAACAACCACACAGACAACATAATGTTAGATGCTGATACATCCTGTGAACGGGAATAAAAGAGGGCAAGGAAAGGCTGTGTGGCACTGTTCTGTTTCTATTAAACATTAGTTTTGAGGCTCCTATGGCATGTAACATTTAAGCAGACATGTCAGTGAAGACCTGCATGTTTGAACTCTTGACTTTGTGCATATTACTTCATATCTTTGAATTTCTCATCTTTAAAATTTTCCTCATCTTTAAAATGCTTATTTGAAGATTAAGTGGAAGTACATAAGATATAAGAGATTAATAATGTATAATAATGATTAATGTTAACATCTATTGATCATTAATACTGTAGTGGGCTTCTAAATAAGCTCTTTAAATACCTTATCTCATTTAATCCTTCAAATAGATTCTATTTGTTTAAACAACAGAAAACTACAATTAGCTGGCTTCAGCAAGGAATTTTGTTGGAGGAAATGAGAGAGTTCAGAAATTAGATGGGAGTGTTAGAGAATTAGGCTTACAAAGAGTATGGGAAAGTAGACTAGAAAGCAGCATAAGAACAAAGACAGCATAAAGCTCTTTACCTTATTTGCTGGGTTCCACCATGGGAATCCATGGACTCTAAAGATTTCCCTCTATTTCTACATCACTCTGCTCAAGGCTCAGTGAGCCAAGAAAAAGAACACAGTTGTCAAAATCCAGACTATGATTAAGGAAGGTCTGGACATCTTGACTGTCAGATAGTCTCCCCAAGGTGCTATATAATGTGGGATATTTAGAATGATAGTAGATATTTTTTTTTAATTTCCAACTTTTATTTTAAATTCAGGAGTACCTGTGCTGAGCACACAGGTTTGTTACATAGGTAAATGAGGGCCATGGGGATTTACAGCCAGATCATGAAAATATGGAACACGTCATGAATTTGTGTGTCATCTTTGTGCAGGGGTCATGCTAATCTTCTCTGTATCATTTCAATTTTAGTATATGTGCTACTGCAGGGAGCACGCTATTGGATATTTTGTTACCGACATTTGACATATGATGAAACGAGGCTCACTGAGGGTGTTTTGTTGTCATTGTTGAGTTTTATTGTATATTTTTAAATTGATTTGATTTTCATTTTTAAGGTTAAAAACTTTCTCCTTTTTCTGCTGAGAACAAGACCCACTTAACAGAAACATAAATAGTGGTTTACATAACTATAACTCTTTTGACATTAGAAAATCTTGGCATTTGATCTTCTTCTTCTTCTTCTTCTCCTTATTATTATTATTATTATTACACTTTAAGTTCTGGGGTACATGTGCAGATCGTGCAGGTTTGTTACGTAGACATACATGTGCCATGGTGGTTTGCTGCATCTATCCCACTCCCCCGCTGTCATCTACATTAGGTATTTCTCCTAATATTGTCCCTCCCCAATTCCCCCACCCCTTGCTATCCCTCCCCTAGCCACCTCCCACCACCCCGACATGCCCTGGGTGTTTTAGTTTTTTTAAAGACGTTGCCCTAAACCACACAAAAGAGCTGGCATGAAACCCAGAGCTTTCAGATTCTGGAGCCTCAGCCCTTTACCCCCTGATTCCATTGCTTCTTGCCAAATGCTGCCATTTTATCACAGAAGTTAGAATTCTGAGCACAGAATAGGTGCTCTTTACTTTCTAATCTAGAGTTAGACATTTTATAAGTGTGAATTGAGTGAATGGATGGACGGATGGATTGAAGGATGGATGGACGGATGGATGGATGGATGGATAAAAAAAAGTGACTGGATTTTGTGCTTGCACAAGAAGAGTCCCCCTCCCCGACTGAGTCTCTAGTCTAAAAGAGGGGAGTTGGCAGAGCATGCAGTAAAGACTTTTCATTTTATGTGTAATCATTGCAGGTGGTTCCTAACATTACTTATCAATGCATGGAACTGAATTTCTACAAAATCCCCGACAACATCCCCTTCTCAACCAAGAACCTGGACCTGAGCTTTAACCCCCTGAGGCATTTAGGCAGCCATAGCTTCTTCAATTTCCCAGAACTGCAGGTGCTGGATTTATCCAGGTAATGAATGCACTTTTACATACTGCACAAGGTGAGATGTTCTTTCTCCTATAATTTCATTATTGGACCAGAAAGCTTGGTTGGTGGAGTCTCCTCTGCGTTCACGTATTCATTCATTCACACATTAGATGTCTTATTAGCTACAAAACCTTGAGCAAGCCACCTCTGTTCTCCAGGTCTCAGTTTTATCATCCGAGAAATAGGCAGTTGGCCGAGACAGTTTCTAAGGACAATTCTAATTTTAGCCTTTCTTCTAAGACAGGAGAGAAAATTAGCTTAAATTATTTTATAAGCAGCTATTTATTGACTGCTTGCTATATGTTGTACACTCTGCAAGAAAACAGGCATATATTAATATATAGCACACAGCCTCCATATTTAAGGAGGCATATCTTCTTGAAAGAGTTAATACCTTAAAGTCCTGGATATGGTGATGGGTATACAGTATATATTCAACAAATTTTAATTCTGAGTTTTTGGATCTTGAAGCTAATATAAAGATAGTGATATATAATAATAGGTGATATGCTATGTTTAAAGTAGAGGTTACAAATTGTGTTGTTCAGAAGAGGGGCCTTCTCTGTGGTGGGTAGTCAAGAAAGATTTCATGAACTGCATAAGATTCAAATAATGTCTAGAATATTAAAAGTAGAGTTGAGGATAGGGAATTAGAAAAAGACAAGTAACCCAAGGAGAAAGATGTCAAAATCAAAAGAAAACATCTGCTGTGGGTAGGGAATAGTGGCTAAGCTTTTCTTTTCTGATGCAGGGAAATATATCATTTGTTGTGGCAGATGAAATTGTCATTATGACATTTTAAGGGAACCAAATTCTAAAAGGGTTTTCATCATCGTCATGGGCCTTATTTGCAAATTGAACTAGGTAAGGGACTATGTTCTCTGCAATAGTTTGTAAAACATTTTACATATTACTTATTATAGAAATTCTTGATAAAGACTAAGGCCACAGTATGAAAATCTCTTTTAGAGCAGATATTTCTGTAGAAGAATGAACATATGATCTATTATACTCTAATTTGGATATAGATAAAATATAACAAAGGGGTAATGGAACAATTCAAAGGCAGTGGCATAGTGCATAGAGCCCTGTGGGAGTCAGAAGACCTGAGCCAAGTTTACCCCCAATATTTATAACATGTAACCTTAGGCATATTACTTCATCTCCCTCTGATCAATGGAAATGATGAACATTATCCTGCTGGATTAAATGTGATAATAAATATTAACATGCTGTATATATTAAAAATTTTGTGAATTATATTTTATAAGCATAAAATATTATTATTATAGAATTTCATTAGTTTTTTAAATAATTTCAACTTTTATTTTAGATTCAGGGGTTTACATGGTTACATTGTGTAATGCTGAGGTGTAGGGTACAGTTGATCCCATCACTTAGGTTGTGAACATAGTGCCTAATAGTGAGCTTTCCAACCCTTGCTGCTTTTTCTCTGGCCCCTCTATAGTAATCCCCAGGGTCTATTGTTGCCATCTGTATGTCCATGTGTACTCCATGTTTAGCTCTTATTTATAAAGTGAGAACACATGGCATTTGGCTTTCTGTTCCTTTGTTAATTTGCTTTGGATAATGGCCACCAGCTGCATCTATGTCATTGTGTTCTACATTTCAGTTTTCCGTGTGAAAATTTTGTCAAGTACTCTATTAAGGTAGACCACCTCTCCCTTTTCTTCAAACAAGAAGTAGTTTTTCATCAAACAATGTCTCTTATATAATTCATCTTCATCTTCAATCCACCAGATACCTAAGAAACTTGCCCCAGAAACCTTCAATATGTTCTTACACAGAGTCTGGCTTCCCTTCTGGTTAGCCCATAGGAGATTCTGAATTAGGGCAAGCAAAAATAGTAGCACAATAGACATCCTTTGCCTTTTCATACAGCATTCACATACAGTAACTCAACTAGTCTTGTAAGAATGCTTTATGATATTTATTTTATATACATATATATAATATATATATATATTTCTTTTTATAGATGAGGAAACTGAAGCTTGAAGAATTCCATTGACTTATTTACATAATCATAGCTTGTTAGCCACAGATCAGAGATTTAAGTTCACATCTCCAGTATCTAAGTTAAATGTTCTTTTTGTCTTAATACTCTGCTTCTCTAAAGTGATTATCACTGATGTAATGACATAGAGACACAGCAAGATCCTTTCATTCTTGTCTGATGTAACGCGCAATGCAGAGATAAAATAATAGGCTGTAAAATCATATAATTCAAAAAAAAGAATTTAAAAAATGATCAGGTTCAGCTGTTTCATTTGAAAATGTGATAACTAAAACCCAGAGAGGAAAAGAGGTACTCAGGATCACACAGTAGGAGAGGACTGCAGAGACAACAGACTCAAGCTCTTTTGTCCCCTCTTCCAGTATTCTTTCTACTGCATTGCCTATTCTTTATCTAGTTACCAATAAATAACAAAAGCTTGGACCACATTGCTTTTATTATTTAGGAAACTGCTGAAGGAGCTAAAACAGGTGGGGAGTATTGTAAATACAATTAAGGCTGGATTAAGAAATAACTTATTTGTACATTGTAACTGACAAGCACCTGCAATGCTAAAAGGAATTTATCATTGGCTTGCTGTTTGCTGGCTGTATAAAAGCCTTGTCTCTAGGACATGTCTATTAACATTGTATGTAGCATGGCTTCCATTTCTCTTGGGATAAAACTCAAAACTCTTCATCTTATTAGTAAACTTCTGCCTAATTGGAAACTTTTCACCACAACTCCACATTGTACACTCCAATTTCGTCTGTAATCCAACCATGGGAGCTGTTTGTCATGATTTTTGCATGTGTCATTTTTGCTGTCAATCTTGGGACTTTTGTGTCTGCTGTTTTCATCTCCTTTTATGTTTACTTCTACGAATCTTTCAATTTTCAACTTAAGTGTTCTCAGAGAAGCCTACTTTGATCTCTTGGTCCACAACAGTTATCTGGAGGTGAACTCTCATAGCACATAGTTTTCCGTTTCTTCCACACAACTCACTCCTAAAACCTGTTACAAGCATGTACCTGTTGTAAGAATGACTTTCAAACATTTCACTATCATGCATGCACAACTTTTTATAAACATTAAGAGTATCTGTGACACTTATGTGTAATTTTTTTATATCTTTGAAATTGATATTTACTATTTATCATGGCTAACAACTAACAACTATCCTTATTATCTGTATCAATAAGATGTATGATCACAATTTTGTGTGACAGAAAATGGCTAAACTTGATCCAAGGCCATTGCATACTTTATCAACCACATGATCCTTATATATCTCAATTATTGATCTTTAGCTGATTTCCTTCACATGGGTTTTCTCTTCTGCTTATCATGTATACATAACATGACAAAAAGAGCCTACCATTGCAGCAGGTATGATAATACCTCAATCTGTGGGGCTTCTTATTTGCTCATGCCATTATCATCTGTCCTGCTCGATGTCTATGCACAATCATATGACCTATCACATCTGTATGAAGAGCTGGATGACTAGGATTAATATTCTATTTTAGGTTCCTATTCAGCAGAAATATTTTTAATCTGTGTCTTTTTTTTCCTGTAGGTGTGAAATCCACACAATTGAAGATGGTGCATATCAGAGCCTAAGCCACCTCTCCACCTTAATATTGACAGGAAATCCTATCCAGAATTTAGCCCTGGGAGCCTTTTCTGGACTATCAAGTTTACAGAAACTGGTAGCTGTGGAGACACATCTGTTATCGCTAGAAAGCTTCCCCATTGGACATCTCAAAACTTTGAAGGACCTTAATGTGGCTCACAATCTAATCCAATCTTTCAAATTACCTGAGTATTTTTCTAATCTGACCAATCTAGAGCACTTGGACCTTTCTAGTAACAATATTCAAAATATTTATTGCAAAGACTTGCAGGTTCTACATCAAATGCCCCTACTCAATCTCTCTTTAGACCTGTCCCTGAACCCTATAAACTTTATTCAGCCAGGTGCATTTAAAGAAATTAGGCTCCGTAAGCTGACTTTGAGAAATAATTTTGATAGTTTAAATGTAATGAAAACTTGCATTCACGGTCTGGCTGGGTTAGAAGTCCATCGTTTGGTTCTGGGAGAATTTAGAAATGAAAGAAATATTGAAGACTTTGACAAATCTGCTCTGGAGGGCCTGTGCAATTTGACCATCAAAGAATTCCGATTAGCATACTTAGACAACTTTCCAGATGATATTATTGACTTATTTAATTGTTTGGTAAATGTTTCTTCATTTTCCCTGTTGAGTGTGTATATTAAAAGAGTAGAAGACTTTTCTTATAATTTCAGATGGCAACATTTAGAATTAGTTAACTGTATATTTCAACAGTTTCCTCCACTGAAACTCAAATCTCTCAAAAGGCTTACTTTCAGTAAAAACAAAGGTAGGAATCATTTTGCAGAAGTTGATCTGCCAAGCCTTGAGTTTCTAGATCTCAGTAGAAATGGCTTGAGTTTCAAAGGTTGCTGTTCTCAATCTGATTTTGGGACGACCAGCCTAAAGTATTTAGATCTGAGCTTCAATGATGTTATTACCATGAGTTCAAACTTCTTAGGCTTAGAACAACTAGAACACTTGGATTTCCAGCATTCCAATTTGAAACAAATGAGTGAGTTTTCAGTATTTCTATCACTCAGAAACCTCATTTACCTTGACATTTCTCATACTCACACCAGAGTTGCTTTCAATGGCATCTTTAATGGCTTGTTCAGTCTCAAAGTCTTGAAAATGGCTGGAAATTCTTTCCAGCAAAACTTCCTTGCAGATATCTTCACAGATCTGAATAACTTGATATTCCTGGACCTTTCTGAGTGTCAACTGGAGCAGTTGTCTCCAACAGCATTTGACTCACTTCCCAGACTTCAGATACTAAATATGAGCCACAACAAGTTCTTTGCATTGGATACATTTCCTTATAAGCATCTCTACTCCCTCCACGTTCTGGATTACAGTCTCAATCACATAGGGACTTCCAAAAATCAGGAACTACAGCATTTTCCAAGTAGTCTAGCTTTCTTAAATCTTACTCAAAATGACTTTGCTTGTACTTGTGAACACCAGAGTTTCCTGCAGTGGATCAAGGACCAGAGGCGGCTATTGGTGGAAGTTGAACGAATGGAATGCGCAACACCTTTAAATAGGAAGGGCATACCTGTGCTGAGTTTGAATATCACCTGTCAGATGAGTAAGACCATCATTGGTGTGTCAGTGCTCAGTGTGCTTGTGGTATCTGTTGTAGCAGTTCTGGTCTATAAGTTCTATTTTCACCTGATGCTTCTTGCTGGCTGCATAAAGTATGGTAGAGGTGAAAACACCTATGATGCCTTTGTTATCTACTCAAGCCAGGATGAGGACTGGGTAAGGAATGAACTAGTAAAGAATTTAGAAGAAGGGGTGCCTCCTTTTCAGCTCTGCCTTCACTACAGAGACTTTATTCCCGGTGTGGCCATTGCTGCCAACATCATCCATGAAGGTTTCCATAAAAGCCGAAAGGTGATTGTTGTGGTATCCCAGCACTTCATCCAGAGCCGCTGGTGTATCTTTGAATATGAGATTGCTCAGACCTGGCAGTTTCTGAGCAGTCGTGCTGGTATCATCTTCATTGTCCTGCAGAAGGTGGAGAAGTCCCTGCTCAGGCAGCAGGTGGAGCTGTACCGCCTTCTCAGCAGGAACACCTACCTGGAGTGGGAGGACAGTGTCCTGGGGAGGCATATCTTCTGGAGGCGACTCAGAAAAGCCCTGCTGAATGGTAGACCGTGGAGTCCAGAAGGAACAGTGGGTGCAGGATGCGATTAGCAAGTAGCAGTAACTATCTGAAGAGGGAAAAAACAAAAAACAGCTTCTGAGGCATTTCTTGCCCAGCTGGGCCCAACACTTGTTAAGTTAACAAGTATTAAATGCTGCCTCATGCCAGGCATTATGCTAAGGACAAGTAATTGTATGGCTCACAAGATACATGGGAATGCAAATCTCATGGCACCTCCAGTGCAGACGGAATAAATGCTAGACTAAAATACAGAGTGTTCCAGGTGGGCATTTCAACCAAGTCAGCCAAGGAACCCATGACAGAGAAAGTCATTTCAACTCTTACCTCATCAAGTTGAATAAGGACGGAGAAAACAGAAAGAGGCATTGTTCTCCTGAGTCTTTTGAATGGAAATTACATTATATATTATGTTATAGCCATCATAAAAACCATTTTGGTAGTTTTGACTGACTGAACTGGGTGTTCACTTTTTCCTTTTCCATTGAATTTAAATTCTACTTGATGACTCATTGGGCTCCTGATGCAAGATGCACCTTCCATTTTAAGTCAGTTTCCTTACAGAGGTTAAAGTTTAGTGGCTAATTCCTAAGGAGACCTAATTAACACATGCTCACAATCATCCTGGTCATACTTGAGAATGCTCTGTTTTTTAACTAACAACCCCTGATGTATTTTTATTTTTATATATCCAGTTTTTATTTTTTAATGTCTTTAAGCCAATATCATAAGTAAGGTTGTTCAGGATGTGCTTCGAATATCCATATTTATTTGACCACCATTTTTTAAGGAAGCACGTAAAGTACACTCTGTCACTTTGTCATTCAATGTCATTCCAAAGTTAATGCCTCTTAAGTTATGACTGTCATGAAAGCAGTGTTGAAATAATTTGTATAACGGTACTTTTTTTAAACAGGGAAAGAAAATTTCCACTTCCTGGTCATATCATGTACAATTTGGGCAAGGAAGGAAGAGGGATGACCTCAGGAGGTCACCTTTTCTTGATTCCAGAAACATATGGGCTTATATACTTGGGGTGACCCCATAAAATGAGTTGCAGCAGAATTTTTTTTCAGAACAATTGATGTTTAATGGACCTCTGAATCTCTTCAGGGAGAATGGAGGGCTGGGATCCTTCCCCTGCACCTCCTCACTGCCAGGAGAACTACTTGAGATGGGATTCAATGCAGGGAGTACATACATTGTTGCTTCCTGTTGGGCACTGCTCCCTGACCACATTTTGGGAAGAGTGGATGCTATCATTGAGAAAACAATGTGCCTGAGATTAATGGGGTTCATTCGTATAAAGAGAGTTCCCAGAAAAAAAATGTTCATTCATTCTCCCCAGAAACAGAATATTCAAGAAAAGGACAATGAGGACATCATCAGGAAAATGAAAATAAAAACCGCAATGAGATATCACCTTATACCAGGTAGAACGGCTGCTATAAAAACAAAGGGTCACCAAGGATATGGAGAAATTGGAACCCTTCTACATTGTTGGAGGGAATGTAAAATGATGTACCCATTATGAAAAACACTGTGGAGGTTTCTAAAAAATTAAAAATAAAACTACTCTATGATCCAGCAATCTCACTTCTGTGTATATACCCAAAATAATTGAAATCAAAATTTCAAGAAAATATTTACACACCCATGTTCATTGCAGCCCTTTTCACAATCACTGTTTCCAAAGTTATGGAAACAACCCAAATGTCCATTGAAAAATAAATGGACAAAGAAAGTGTGCACAAACATATAATGGGATCTTATTCAGCCTATAAAAAAGGGGGAATCCTGCCATTTATGACACTATGGATAAACTTGGAGGTCATCATGCTATGTAAAATAAGCAAGTAACAGAAAGACAAATACTGCCTGATTTCACTTACATGAGGTACTAAAATAGTCAAACCCATAGAAGCAGTGAATAGAACAGTGGTTCTTAGGGAAAAAGAGGAAGGGAGAAATGAGGAAATAGGGAGTTTTCTAATTGGTATAAAATTATAGTATGCAAGATGAATTAGCTCTGAAGATCAGCTGTATAGCAGAGTTCCTATAATGAACAATACTGTATTATGCACTTAAAATTTTGCTAAGAGGGTACATCTCATGAAGTATATTTACCATATGCACTTTTGGTAATACATGGTATATATTACCATATAGTTGGTATATATTTCCATTACAAAAGGAAACTTTTGGAGGTGACAGATATATTTATCACCTTGATCATGGTGATGGTTTCACAGGGATATGACTATGTCTAAACTCATCAAATTGTATATATTAAATATATGGAGTTTTGTAATATCAACTATATCTGAATGAAACTATAAAAAAGGAAAGACAACAAAACTCAATTGTCAAAACTGGAACTATGAGAACACTCAGAAGTGATATTTTACAGAGTGTGTCAGAGTGTGTTTGGTTTGAGCATGTCTAGGGTGATTGAACATCCCTGGATGTGTTTCTATGTCTCATGTACTAGTGAAAGAGAATGTATGCATTTGCACAACATATGCCTTTGAACAACATACACCTGTGTGTCCCGATCAGGGTTGTGTGTCCCTATCAGGGTTGTGTGTATTTGGAAGTGTGTGACCATATCTGTATAGAGGAGAGTGTGATTATACTTCTTGAAGAATAAATGCATTTGAAGTAGATGTCTATGGCTGTTTGAGATGGGTTCCCTACTCTTGTGGTGCTTTTACAGTAGTCTCACCTTATCCCTTATCCTTGGTGGCTATGTTCTCAGACCCCAAGTGGATCTCTGAGACCCCAGATAGTACCAAACCCCATATATGCAGTACTTTTTCCTATACATAAATATCTAAGGTAAAGTTCATTTTATGAATTAGGCACAGTAAGAGATTAACAACAACAAATGATAAGTTGAATATAACAATGTATTATGATAAAAGTTATGTGAATGTGATCTCTCTCTCTTGCTGCCTCTCTCAAAACATTGTACTATACTCTCCTGTTTTCAGACCATGACTGACCATGAGTAACTGAAACCTGGGAAAGTGAAACTGTGGGTAAGGAAGGAACTAACATACATACATGTATCATTGTTTATCTATAGATGTATGCATCAGTTTCTAAGTATGCTTGAAAATGTGTGATTTTGTGTGCCTGTGCTACATTTAAGTGCAGCTCTATTCATATTTGAATGTGAATTATGTATATTCATATTTGAATATGAATTATGTGTATGTGTTTATTTAAGCAAATATACAAGGCTCTGAGAAGGAAGATCAACATACAACTTGGAGTATTTCCTACATACAAGGCTGACATTGGCCTACTTCCTGTCAGTTCCCTCTCCCAGATGGAAATTCTAGACATGGCAGGTGAGGTGGACAAGAAGGGAAAGAAATTATATGCGTAGAACAGAAGGAGAAGAAAGAGTAAAGTCATGCCTCAGATAGCCTCTTTGTAGCCCTTTAAACCCTCTGGATTTAAGAGGGATGAAGGGTAGAATAAGGAGAGATTAAAGCCAATTATAATGCCTTAAATTTGTGTGATACAACTTGAAACATATTCACACAACTATAATCATGTTTAAATATCTTACTAGCTGAGTGAGGTAGCAAATGAATAATTACTTTTTCCATATGATTGATAAGAAAGCTGAAGTTCAATGGAGTAAATTTGTCAGTAGGCCACAGAGTAGGAAAGTGACAAAACTGAGCCTAGGCCTCCAGTTCACTCAAGGACACTTTTATTATTCCACACCCAATTGCTTCATGCTTAAAGTTGGCAAAACAGGAAGTGAAACTCCTGCAGTTCTCTGTGTGGTTGACACTAGTCAAGGGTTTCTCAACTGAAACCGGGAATCATTAAGCCAATACATATGCATGTATGTTATACACACCAAATGATTTATTTATAATCCTCTTTCCACAAAGGAATTGAAGGAGCTTCAAACAAAGGATGCATAAACAATAGAGATAATCAACAATAAGTAGAAAATCTGGACATAGAACAAAAAGAGGAGAGAAAGACACTGAGAATGAGCATTAACACAGCGTTTCCCTGTTTCTGGTGTTTTGGACAGTGTGCCTTTTGGAGAAAGCAAAAACTCAAATTCACTACTTATCAACCATGTGCCTTGGGCTACGCTTCTCTGAGAGTCTGCTTAGCTCAAATGTAAAATGAGAAAAGAAGTATTATTTTGTAAGGTTGTTCTAAGGGTTGAAAATAATGTATTATGTTCAATACAGGGACACTGTCCTTACGGATGTGTACTCCTCTAAGACTTGATAAAGAGGGTACAGGGAGGTCTTCTCAGTAACAGCACTAAAGTAATTGCTGTTTTCCCAGCCTGTGGAACCACAGAAATTACTGTAGCTAAAATTAGGCATTTCTTTCTGACTCAGTCTCTACTCATGGGATTGTCAGAACCCACCCTCCTTCTGGACTCTATAAACTTTTCAGAAAGTTTATAGAAAGTTCATCAGCAGGCTCCTAGAGAGGCTTAAATGAACTTGCACAAAGTGTGAAGTGAACTGTCTGGGAGAGTGAAAACCAGTCTAAGGCAGTGTATCCATCTACTTGTGTGATAGCGTGAAAGCCACTCAAGTGTTTTGAGGCTCAGGTCTTAATACACCAAATGGAGGAAATAATACCTTGTTAGCAGACCTTACTTGGTTAAAACAATAATGTTGATAGTTGCAATAGTTACATTTAATTGATCAATTGTTTTCTGCAAGGACTTTATCTGTGCTATCTCATTTAGTTTGTCACATCAATGAATTAGGAGGATATTAAAGTATTTCCAATTTACAAATGAGGAGTCTGAGTCTGGGAGTCATTCTATCATGTGTCCAGTGTCACTTGCTCATTAGTGGCAGCAGGGAGATTAGGATCTAAGTCCACTTCCCTGCGGAGACAGGGCTTCTAAATACTGTTCTATGCCAATAGCACCCTGCTCTCACAAAATGATAAAACCTCCTAACTCAACATTATAATTTTGACTGATATTAAACAAAGAAATGTATTATTATTATTACTTGCCTTTATTTATATTACAGCCATAAGAGCAGGAAAAAAATCAATCAAAGATTTATGGGATTAAAGATTTTTAAGAGTGAACAAATCAGGCTTTTCTTTGAACAACATGCTTAGCGTTGTTCTATTATGTCTATTGTTGATCTGACTTCCCGATGGGCATCACAGACTTGTGATTAAACACAGAGGTTATGGGGTAAGTTCCAAAAGCTTAGGACTTTCCAGATGGTTGGAATAAGATCACACACTCTGACTGCCCTTATGGAGATCACTGAACTTTTCAACTCAAAGTAAAATCTGTGGAGTAAGTGGTTGATCAAAAGGAACCAACTATATTGAGCACCATAGGTGAGCATCTGATTGTTGCTGCTACCTTGTGAGTTAGAGGCTGCTCTTCTCATTTCAGAAATGAGAAAAAAGAAGCCCAGAGAGGACGAGTAACTTGCCATAGGTCACACAGCTTGTATTAATCACAATAACACTTGCTACACCTTCTGTATTTTTTTTAAGTTGCCAAGATTTTAGTGCATGCCTGGCACTATTTTATTTGTATATTACTTCATTTAATTGTTAAAATGACATTCTGATGCAGGTATTTGTAGCTTCGTCATTCCACAGATGAAGAAACTGAAATAAAAGGACTGAGTTGTTCAATTGGAAGGAGCAGAACCAGGGTATGAACTTGGGTTGGCCTGATTCTTGGGGCTGCAGTCTTTCCATCACATAATCGCTTGCTGTGATGTCCTGGCTACTCTGCCGGGGTGGTTAGTGGAAGTGAATGGAGACTAATTTAGACAAGGTCAGTAACTCCCATGCCATCTAGAAATTAAAAGTTTAAAAGGCAGAGTCTGCAACTGTCCTTGATTTCTACAGAAATAAAGATGATCCCTCCTGTGACAGTGCTAAGTGACAATTCTGAGTGTAAATGTGCTTTTTGGCACAAATTGTCCTGTCCTAATAGCCTTGATTATAATTATAAAATAATGGGTTTCTGAAAGGCTGCAAGCAGTTCTGGGAATGGCAATAAGGGTTTCGAAACGACATGATGTTTATAAGAGAAGTGTTTTGTTGAAAATTAAACTCACGTTTAGGAGAAAGGATTGTGTTGTATGCTCCTAGGAAACTATCTCACTATGTAATTAAATCAAAACCAGCCAGTTGACAATTTGAATTCTTGGCTCATACTAACAATACCCCATTTCCCATGGGCAAAGCAAGGCAGGACTGACCTGAAGCAACTCAACCTGACTCTATCCACATCCACCCCAGGATCTTCCTTGTCCCTCTGTCTTCCTAGGTCTTGGTCAGGAGATGCTAGTGCATGACCCGTCTTCCTGGGACTCACTTTGCCTTCCCTTTAGATTCTTTCTGGGAAGCATTTTCAGCTCCCCAGAAAGGAATACATACTCTTTCTATTTATGGGATTCCCTGGGAGACACTATGTAAAAATAGAGTTAAAAAAAAAAAACTATTAAAAAAAAGACAACTTTATGCTGTCACTATTCTGACTTCATTCTTTTTTAGATGGATGGCAAAGGCTCTCTTCAAGGTTAGAAAAGTATTTTCTTCTCTTTATATTAATTTTTATAGATTTGGAGAGTGCAAGTGCAATTTTGTTACATGAATATATTGCATAATTGTTTAGTCCGGGCTGTTAGGGTAACCATCAACTAAACAGTGTACTTTGTACCCATTAGGTAACTTCTCCTTCCTTACCCCCTTCCTACCTTTCTGTGTCTTCAATGTCTATTATTTCACTATCCAGGTTCATGTATGCACATTATTAAGTTCCCACCCATAAGTGAGAACATGGATGGAACTGGAGCAAAGTATTTTCTATCCCAAGACCTGTTCCTAAATCTTGTGTCTCTAGGTCACTTGCTCTCTCCCTTATAGCTTTCCTATTTTCTAGCCTCTTTTTGCAACCTTCATTTTCACCCTAAAGAATTTCAGGGAATCTACAGCTCATTTTCTTTCAATTATTACAATGGAAATAATATATGAAGATGACCAAGTTGACCAAGTTCCAAACTCTCACTTTAAAACAAATGCTTGGCTTAAGAATCATTTAAGGATTTTGATTCTATTATCTATGTGTCTATGTATCTACGTACTAATTATCTATCTTTATGATTCTTATTGCTAGAAATTCTGGTTCAATATCAGAGGTTGGGCCTAAGGAATTTATATTTTAAAATATTCCCCAAGTAATTTTCATGCACAGGCAGATTTGAAAATTAATGTTATAATGGAAAATGGAGACTAATAACCCACATTTAATATGGTTATTGGTTTTGTTCTTGAGATTTATTGTTAAGATTCATGATAGCCAAGGCAAGGTCAACAGAATGGAATATGTAATCATTCTTATTAAAAAATAAAGGCATCTCCTTGGTCAGATCATGTCTTTTTTTTTTACACTCTATAGTTGACTCTTCTCAATCCCACCAGATCAGACTCTTAGGGATGCTAGAGTTTGCCTATTTGATGTTGAGCTCACTATATCCATTTAGATGTTGTGTTCTAGCAATCGTTTAGTTCTCCTAGTTTCTACCTACCATGTTGCCAATTTCTCTTCTTTATCATCCTGGGTAGCTGGGACCCCCACATAAATGTATGCCCGAAAAATGTCATGATCTTCTCTAAACTCTCTGAGTTATCTGTTGTCAATGTGATTTTTTTCCAGTCCAAAATATATCAAAGTAAAATTTAACTCCACTTTTGCTAAGTAATCAGCTTGCCATGAGTATTACGATTCCAAAAATCACTTTCCCTGAAAAACACAGAATCTCCTTGCAGAGACTTGCTTGGCCACTGTGAGTCTTCCCAGAAACTCCTTTTTCCTTATCATTGAGGGGAATTGGAATAGTGATCACTGAGGGTTGAAATTCGGTAGTTTTGGCCTTTAAGCTGAGATCCTGAGTCTTCTGAAGGGTCTAACACTCCCCAGTGAAAAATACCTGCTGTCAAAATTTTCCTGCTTGCAAAGAGCACTTTTGAAATTAATGGCAAGGGATGAATCTCTGGCTAGTGCTTCACTCAGCTGAGCTGTTGCTGAGTCCTTTGCATACATCATCTTTGGCTGAATTAGCTGGGGCTTCAGTTTCTTGTCCAAGTCTGACAGTCTAGCACCACTGAAAGCAGGGCACACCTTTGCCAGTTACTGGCATATTAACAGCTGAGATCAGGTAAGTGAGCATAGGTAGAGGTAGTGTGGTTTAGGACTCAGGTCTGCCACTGGGAGCCCACCTCTGGGCTCAAGTTTCTCATCTGTAAAATGGGACATTTAGGTTAGATCAGTATCTTCAAAGTGTGACATGTTAGTAAATGAGATGATTTTATGTGGTTGACAGATGAGTGTATTACCTTTAATGGTTATATGTTTATTTTCACCGTTTATGATAAATTTTATGACTAGCCAAGAATTATCTCTTTAAAATATAACTAAGCTTGCAATGTGGGCCAACTTTGGAAAAAATGGGACAAAATGAGTTACGTAAAATTACTCAGATTTGGAAAAATTTTGAAGGTGTCACAAGAAAATTTGGTAGTCAGAAAGCAATGAACAAAACTGCTGCTGAGGGTCAGGCCAGTTCTCCGACATTGTAGCATGTTCACATCTCCAGGGCTGTTTCCTTACTTATAAATTGTGGGGATTGGAGTAAGTATTCATTCCAAGAATTCTATTCTGTGATAAGAGGTGTAACTCCATCATCCAGATTTTCCAGCGTCCTTAACATGTGATTCTATCATTTGAAACCTGCCGATGCTATATGCAAATGGAAGACTCATTCATCAAGTCATGTTGTATCCATATATTTATAATATTTCCCATGTCCCCTCAGTTCTGACCAGGATTAAGCTATCAACCCCATTGAGTTGTAGGTGAAAGACTATGGAAGCAAGACTTTGATAGTGAAATGGCTCCACCACTGACAAGCTATTGAACAAAGGCAAATTTCTTGATCTCTTTGCTCTTTGGCCTCTGTTTCTTTATCTATGAGATAAAATTATTTTTTGCACTGTCTTCTGCAAAAGCTTTGAGAATCAAGTGAGACAGAAGATCCAATAAAATTTAGGGAATTGCTCTATAAATGCAAGGAGTTATTATGATAATGGATTGAAAATCCCTTGAAGGAGAAGTTTCTCTTTTGCCCCATGTTATAAACCCAAGAATATCTTCAGTTTTGCCCACATATTCAAAAAGCTTTTAAATTAAGCTATATGTCATTCTTACAGGAGTATCCTCTATTTCAGCAATGTGTATACTTGGCCAGTTTTAATTATTTCAAAGGAGAAGAGAACAGTTTGTCTGAAGTCAAGCATTTTTGTGGATTAGTGCTTACAATTATAATTTTTTCTTTCCCATACTTGACATTTAAAGTGATATCTCCCAGGCTCCTACACTGCTCGTCACAGAGGTACCATTCGACCCCTTGTGACTCTTACCATATGCAAATTCTTGTCAGTTGAGAGTAAACTTTATTCATAAACTTCACAGTTGTGGATTGATAAAAACAGACAACTCTAGTTCCTCATCCCTTCCTGGTTTCTTTCTTGACATGCCATTCATGGCGGTCCCTTATATCACTATAGGGCTGCTATCATCCTTCATCCATATGCCACTGCAAATAGCAACCAACAGTGTCCTTAGTGCCAGCGCTCCCAGGCATGCCCCTTCTCAAGCGGTAGGGTCAAGGTACTTCCTTCCTGAGCTGTGGCATCTGCCTCTAAATCATGCTTCCTCTTTGCCTGCTGCAGGTTCTTGTCTGTGCCCTTC